ACTAACAAACAGTCACAACATGTCACAACAAACTTCAGGTTGGTGTGGAAGCAGCGCACCCAAGATCGGGATTAAGACTTATGAGAATCTTCGCCTGAACTTGCCAAAACAATGCCCAAACCATACTCTATACGGGCCATACGGGCCGCAATCTCATGCGCTTTGATGCTACATGGTGAAACGGCGCGCGTGAATTTTCACGTTGGCTAGCATGTGCTTTCACGCACGTTGATGCCATAATGCATTTGGGTGGAGCGTTGCGGTCGTGATCGGGGGTGTGAATGTTCGCGCGAACCTGCCTAGAAGGTTGAGACTTGTGCGGCTTTGCTTGAACTTGAAAGTACTGCCTTGGTTTGCTTGTGATTGAGGTTGCCTTCAATCAGTAGGGCATGGTGACTTTGGAAAAAAAAACATGGATTGCAGACACCCACGGACACTTTACTTTCTCTTGGTCTACTGTCCTCTCCTAAATTTGTAGGTTGAAACCCAGTGCCCATCTTCGAAACAGTTCTGCGTGGGGCTCTGCAATGAATGGAAATTGGCCACAGACTGTCTACATGCCTGTGATCAACGTATGTACACCCCAGGGGTTGGAAAACAAATCAGGAATGTCATTGAACAAATATCGCGTGGACAAATTACTGATGTCATGAATCGGCATACAAGCGACGTGCCCTGTCTTCCTGCGGCGCAGGTCTTTTTTCACACCGACGCAGCTCAAAGCGTTGGCAAGGCTGTGTGCATAGCGTGATTAAAAGAAACATTTCAATTCGATGCGTCAAATGATTTCGATGGAATTCCATGGTCAGGTGCCGGTTGATGTTAAGAAGGTTGGCGCAGCGCTGATGCAGCTATCTTAGTACCAATTTTCAGTTTGACGTTGAGTGACGTGAGATGCAAGAGATATTAACGAATCACACCACAATTAACAAATCGGACGACTGTCATTGCATGTTGTTCACAGTCTGGCTTTAGCATTTGTTTTCAGCAGGTGACCCTCCCTCCAGGTCAATCTCAGCTCACAAGATGTACGGCCCAAAGGGTATCGGTGCTTTGTACGTTCGACGGAAGCCACGAGCAGGGTTCTCAGGATGTTGCAGTCTCCTTCAAGACTTTAAGATCAGAAAACTGCAATCTCAGAATTTACCAAAACATGCCAAAACCACATAATTCCAAAATCATAGATAAAGAGTCTTGGTTGCACCAGGTGCGCCTTCGCCCCGTGATCGACGGCGGGGGCCAGGACAGGTTTGAGACTGTTTATCTTAGTCATGTTTAAGGGTCTCGCCAGACCTTTAGAACCTTACAGGATAAGGATCCTTTGTACGATTGATTCTTTTGGATTCTTTTGGGATTTTCATGCTTCAATCCTCCAGATGTAGGCCTATTGCCTGTCAATCCAATACATAATTATAGTATAAAGTTATATAACTTATATAATATATATCTATCATATTATAAATTTAATAAATAACTATATAACGTTATATATTCGTAGTTGTCCCTGTGCGGCCCTCTGAGGCACTCCAAAGCCTCGGTGCTTTGTTTGGAGTCTATAAATAAATATAAAGTAATATATCAGAATAATTTTAAGATAATATATATATAATAATATATATAAATTTAAGTTATATAATATATACAATAATATATACATATATATATATATATTAAGGGCTGCCGCCCCTGCCGCCGACCCCGGAAGAATGGTCATGTGGTTCTTTGACAGTTATATCATATATCAGATGATGGTCTGAGTTTTTTTTGACAATTGGTTGATAGTTTCCAGCCTTTAGCTACTTTAGGGACTCAACTAGCCAGCATCATGTTTTGTCGATCTTGGAGTAGTTTAGATAAAGAGTAAATGTTAACAGACACCCTTTTCGAAACACATCCGGAACAGCAAAACACCACCTAATTTCGTGTCCAAAACGTAGCAAAGTAACCCCAAAAAAGGACCTAATGTCACTTCTGAAACCATACTGTAAAATTGAAACTTTGCCGCTGCCTGCCGCTGCCTGCCGCTGCCTGCTGCTGCCTCTGCTGGTGTCTGCTGCTGCCTGCTGCTCCCTGCTGCTGCCTGCAGCTGCCTGTGGCTGCCTGCGGCTGCCTGCCTGCTGCTCCCTGCTGCTGCCTGCTGCTGGTGCTGCTGCTGGTGGCTGCTGCTGCTGCTGCTGCTGTGGTGCTGCTGTGGTGCTGCTGCAATCAAACAGCCTCCAAAGCAAGAAACAAACAGCCAGACACCCTTTTCGAAACACATCCGAAACAGCAAAACACCACCTAATTTCGTACCCAAAACATAGCAAAGGAACCCCAAAAAAGGGCCTAACGTCACTTCTGAAACCCTACTATAAATAAAATTGCAACTTTGCCGCTGCCTGCCGCTGCCTGCCGCTGCCTGCTGCTGCCTCTGCTGCTGCCTGCTGCTGCCTGCTGCTACCTGCTGCTGCCTGCTGCTGCCTGCCTGCTGCTCCTTGCTGCTGCCTGCTGCTGGTGCTGCTGCTGGTGGCTGCTGCTGCTGCTGCTGTGGTGCTGCTGCAATCAAACAGCCTCCAAAGCAAGAAGCAAACAGCCAGACACCCTTTTCGAAACACATCCGAAACAGCAAAACACCACCTAATTTCGTGCCCAAAACGTAGCAAAGGAACCCCAAAAAAGGGCCTAACGTCACTTCTGAAACCCTACTATAAAATTGCAACTTTGCCGCTGCCTGCCGCTGCCTGCTGCTGCTTGCTGCTGCCACAAACAGCCAGACACCCTTTTCGAAACACATCCGACACAGCAAAACACCACCTAATTTCGTACCCAAAACGTAGCAAAGGAACCCCAAAAAAAGGCCTAACGTCACTTCTGCAACCCTGCTGCCTGCTGCTGCCTGCCTGCTGCTCCCTGCTGCTGCCTGCTGCTGGTGCTGCTGCTGGTGGCTGCTGCTGCTGCTGCTGCTACTGCTGCTGGTGCTGCTGTGGTGCTGCTGCAATCAAACAGCCTCCAAAGCAAGAAACAAACAGCCAGACACCCTTTTCGAAACACATCCGAAACAGCAAAACACCATCTAATTTCGTGCCCAAAACGTAGGAAAGGAACCCCAAAAAAGGGCCTAACGTCACTTCTGAAACCCTACTATATAAAATTGTAACTTTGCCGCTGCCTGCCGCTGCCTGCCGCTGCCTGCTGCTGCTTGCTGCTGCCTGCTGCTGCCTCTGCTGGTGTCTGCTGCTGCCTGCTGCTGCCTCTGCTGGTGTCTGCTGCTGCCTGCTGCTGCCTGCTGCTGCCTGCAGCTGCCTGCGGCTGCCTGCGGCTGCCTGCCTGCTGCTCCGTGCTGCTGCCTGCTGCTGGTGCTGCTGCTGGTGGCTGCTGCTGCTGCTGTGGTGCTGCTGCAATCAAACAGCCTCCAAAGCAAGAAACAAACAGCCAGACATCCTTTTCGAAACACATCCGAAACAGCAAAACACCACCTAATTTCGTACCCAAAACGTAGCAAAGGAACCCCAAAAAAGAGCCTAACGTCACTTCTGAAACCCTACTTAAAATTGCAACTTTGCCGCTGCCTGCCGCTGCCTGCCGCTGCCTGCCGCTGCCTGCTGCTGCCTCTGCTGGTGTCTGCTGCTGCCTGCTGCTGCCTGCTGCTGCCTGCTGTTGCCTGCTGCTACCTGCTGCTGCCTGCTGCTGCCTGCCTGCTGCTCCTTGCTGCACATCCGAAACAGCAAAACACCACCTAATTTCGTACCCAAAACGTAGCAAAGGAACCCCAAAAAAGGGCCTAACGTCACTTCTGAAACCCTACTATAAATAAAATTGCAACTTTGCCGCTGCCTGCCGCTGTCTGCCGCTGCCTGCTGCTGCCTGCTGCTGCCTCTGCTGGTGTCTGCTGCTGACTGCTGCTGCCTGCTGCTACCTGCTGCTGCCTGCTGCTGCCTGCCTGCTGCTCCCTGCTGCTGCCTGCTGCTGGTGCTGCTGCTGGTGGCTGCTGCTACTGCTGTGGTGCTTCTGCAATCAAACAGCCTCCAAAGCAAGAAACAAACAGCCAGACACCCTTTTCGAAACACATCCGAAACAGCAAAACACCACCTAATTTCGTGCCCAAAACGTAGCAAAGGAACCCCAAAAAAGGGCCTAACGTCACTTCTGAAACCCTACTATAAAATTGCAACTTTGCCGCTGCCTGCCGCTGCCTGCTGCTGCTTGCTGCTGCCTGCTGCTGCCTCTGCTGGTGTCTGCTGTGCCGCTGCCTGCTGCTGCCTCTGCTGGTGTTTGCTGCTGCCTGCTGCTGCCTGCTGCTGCCTGCAGCTGCCTGCGGCTGCCTGCGGCTGCCTGCCTGCTGCTCCCTGCTGCTGCCTGCTGCTGGTGCTGCTGCTGCTGCTGGTGCTGCTGCTGTGGTGCTGCTGCAATCAAACAGCCTCCAAAGCAAGAAACAAACAGCCAGACACCCTTTTCGAAACACATCCGAAACAGCAAAACACCACCTAATTTCGTACCCAAAACGTAGCAAAGGAACCCCAAAAAAGAGCCTAACGTCACTTCTGAAACCCTACTTAAAATTGTAACTTTGCCGCTGCCTGCCGCTGCCTGCCGCTGCCTGCTGCTGCCTGCTGCTGCCTCTGCTGGTGTCTGCTGCTGCCTGCTGCTGCCTGCTGCTGCCTGCTGCTGCCTGCTGCTACCTGCTGCTGCCTGCTGCTGCCTGCCTGCTGCTCCTTGCTGCACATCCGAAACAGCAAAACACCACCTAATTTCGTACCCAAAACGTAGCAAAGGAACCCCAAAAAAGGGCCTAACGTCACTTCTGAAACCCTACTATATAAATAAAATTGCAACTTTGCCGCTGCCTGCCGCTGCCTGCCTGCTGCCTGCTGCTGCCTGCTGCTGCCTGCTGCTACCTGCTGCTGCCTGCTGCTGCCTGCCTGCTGCTCCCTGCTGCTGCCTGCTGCTGGTGCTGCTGCTGGTGGCTGCTGCTGCTGCTGTGGTGCTGCTGCTTTGCCGCTGCCTGCCGCTGCCTGCTGCTGCTTGCTGCTGCCTGCTGCTGCCTCTGCTGGTGTCTGCTGCTGCCTGCTGCTGCCTGCTGCTGCCTGCTGCTGCCATGCATTCCTACATGGCCGACCCACAAGAGTTCCGGGAAGCTGGTGCACAAAAACTCAGCAGCATGCTATCGCTTCTGCTGCTGCTGCTGCTGCCGCTGCTGCTGCCGCTGCTGCTGCCGCTGCTCTTGCTGCTAGTGCGGCTAAACTTGCTTGTCTTTGCTTGTCTTATTCCCTGGCGCGCTCCCCCTTGCGTCTGCCGGGGTCGGCGGATATATAATGTTTTGATTTCGGTTTGATTGTGCCTGAAGGAGAGAGGCATGCGCAGTGGAACTCTAGCAACTCCACCGATCGTCGGATTTGGAGCAGCAGCTGAGGTCTGAAGACGAGAGGAACGTTGTAACATTGACATGACCTACCAGCAAACATTCAACCAGCCATAAAAAGATCCAACAAGATCCCTCAAGAAGCAGCAAGGCATTGCTAGGCATTGCCTTTATTTTCCCCTTGTTGTGTCACCTTGATAGGGCCTTACTGCTGCTCTCCCAGGTCTGCATGCAAGAGATGGACAATGACATTCGCCATGTGCAGAAGCTGCAGCTTTGACGAAACTAGGGCTTCGTTTTGTGTCATATGCGTGTTCCCGTGTTCCCGACTTGTTCATAACTGGTTCGATTGATGCCATGACTCATTTCTGCCATTTCTGTCAAGATTCTTACGGCCAACGTGTCCAGGTCGTTGTGCTCCTTTGTTCGCACATACGCACACTAGCTGGGAGAAGACATAAACATAAGCATTTCGTCCACTGTATGTCGAGCTTATGGCTTTAGTGCTGGTTGGATTGAGTTGGGTCTGATTTGTTCTGGTTGGGTTGGGGCTGTGCCGATGTGCCGTGATGTTGACGTTCACCTTGACTTACTGGATGCGTGCCGAAAAAACTTAAGGACAACAGTCCCATTTTATCAGCGTTGCCTTGGTCTTGCTACCAGAGTGATCCTCTTTGACAGTGTCTCCTTGTCAATACTTGTCAATTGCGTATCTATATCAGTATGTTTCTCTATATAATATATATATAGTTATATATGAATCATTATATATAATTATACATATACATATATATTATATATTTGTACATGAGTATATGTATACTAAATACAATATATGTATGATATATGTATGATATATGTATGATATATGTATGTATATGTATGTATATGTATGTATATGTATGTATATGTATGTATATGTATGTATATGTATGTATATGTATGTATATGTATGTATATGTATGTATATGTATGTATATGTATGTATATGTATGTATATGTATGTATATGTATGTATATGTATGTATATGTATGTATATGTATGTATATGTATGTATATGTATGTATATGTATGTATATGTATGTATATGTATGTATATGTATGTATATGTATGTATATGTATGTATATGTATGTGTGTATGTACACATAATATATATATATATGATATATACATATTGGCGTATTTATGTATATGTACACGTATGCGTTTGTTTTCAATGTTTTCTCCAGCATATCATTGATTGAGACTTCTTTGAAGAAAATCCTGGTTCGCTCTGGCCTAGATTCAAGGTACAAACGAATGCACGATCAGATCACCGACCAGCTGCCTCAGATTACCCTCAATGGATCGCCATCGCAGAGGCAACGATGCCCTGAATTTCTCCAGGGAATTCCAGGGAGCAATTTGCAATTTAGATCTTCGATAATCTTCGATAATCTTCGATAATCTTCGATAATCTTCGATAATCTTCGATTGAAATCGCAAATCATTGAATACTTGAATTCTGTTGAATTCTGTTGAATTCTGTTGAATTTCTGATTTGTCAAATTTGTTGAATGGTGCAATCTGGTGCAATCTGGTGCACTTTGGAACACTTTGGAACACCGTCACTTGGACCTCGGAGCTGAAGATAGACTGATAGACCGGTACCGAATCGTTGAGACATGTTGGTGCGGCCTGTCCTTGAAGCGTGGCTCAGGTGGCCTGGCAACGTGAATTTGTCCTTTGCATGTGTTGAAGGTGAGAGCCTTCTGATGTGTGGGACTCAGCCATACTTCAGCCATCAGCCCAGGCTTAGCCAGCCCATCCAATAGGACTCAATGGGCTTATTGGGCTTAGGTCCTAGTGGTGCATGGAAATAGTTTGAGATCGCTGAATTGTGAAGAATGTTGAAGACAATTGGGGATGTATCAAAACCAATCTTGCTATATTTGGGGGGATGAACATCCATGTACCAGTTATTTGGGGTTCACTAGGGTACCAAGGTTTTGACTCATACCCAATTGAATGTACTCCCTGCACGATGTAGAGATTAGGTCCCTTGCCAAGACGACTGCAGTGTCGAGTGGCTCCGCTTGTACGAGTGCATCACTCGAGCCGCCGGGTGCTTGGTGTCCAAAGATATCATAAGATATGCACATGGAACATCATGGAACATGGGACATGGGACATGTTGTTGAAATTTCTTGATATTTGTTGATTCCATTGATGACTGATATGACTGAATTTCTTGACTGTTGTTGTAGCTTTTTGTTGCAGTTTTTTGTGCCGAAAAGCATCACTTCTCACAGAGGTCGTATGTGCTTCGTGCAATTGGTGTCTCTGAAGACCTGGCGCATACGTCCCTTCGAAGCACTGCGTGTGTTGGAGCACAACTTGTGCTATTTCTCTGCAATCACTACTACATGCAATTGTATGTAATTGTATGTATACATATGTATAGTAGATGTATGTATATTATATGATATTATATGTATATGTCTAATATATATATATATATACATAGATACGTCTGCAAGATCTCTGTGTCTTATGATCCGTTCAATATCTCTGTATGTTGTTCTGTGACTGATTTTGTCACTGTACATTGCCCACCGAGCTGCCAGGTCTTTGCGCTTTGGGATTGGCCGCTTCACCACAGAAGCAGAGGTGGTGAATCGCTCAGAGGGCCTTTGAACTTTTGGTCATTTTGGTCATTTTGGTCATTTTGGTCATCATAGACAGTCCTGGTGTGGAATGAGAATTTCTGATCTGCTTCTGGTGCGGTGCACTTCAGTAGCAGCAATGAAAGTGTAACATGCCACCATTTGAGCGGCCAAAGGACAAGACCGTGAACGAAGTTGTTAGAGAGGCATTGGCATCGAAGGTTCTATGCTACAACGTTTACATGTTGGATTCTCTCAATGTCCCTTTTACTTTTCATCCGTGCATTTTTCCCAAACGCAAAGTGCCTGTGTATTTTACCATGTTTTAGAGGTTTTCGAAACTTTCTCTGAGAAAGGCAATGTGAGGTTCTAACTTCAGGAGAATTGCAGGATGACCATGCAGAAAAGTGACAGAGTCTTTCATAAGTGACGAAGTGAACACATTCTGGGTCTTCACTGTGCCCCAAACCAGGCAAGGGCTGGACAGAAATTTGATTTTACAGTGTTTTGATTTTTTTTTGTTTAAAACTAAAACAGTGGTTCACCATTTTCACAGTGTTATTTTCTTTTCATCGACCATTGACCTGTCCAGAAATTTGTAGCCAGGAGATGTGGTTCATTGTTCATTTCATTTGACCAATGAAACATCCAATGGAAACTGGATCCCTGACTATTTCCTGACTATTTTTTGATTAAATGTATGTAAACATGGCATCAAAGCAAATGCCAAATGCTGGCAATTCCACTTTGTGCAACAATTCTCACTACATCAAACAGCTTCTGAAAGGTGCGAAGATTGCGGGACATGAGTCCTCTTTGGGAGCTTGAGCTTGAGGCTGGGTTTCTGCATAACCACATGTTGCCTGCTTTTTTCTCAGGTTTCTCAGGCAGAATTTGGACAAGAGGAAGGACTGTAGATGGTCTTATATAGCAGGGGTGTGATGGAACCAATCCATGCGAATCACACTTTACAGGACTTTGGACCTGATGACAGACATAAGCAAGAAGAGAAAGAGAACTACGTTTTTGGTGCCTTCAGTCAGCTCTCAACGTGTGCATTTGCAGCAGACTCTACAGATTTTATATGATTTTATATGCATTGTGAAAGGCTCTGAAGACAGGCGGACAGAAGCAAGCCGTGACTTGGTCACGTCCTCACCACTGGAACTTGATGCACTTGGTATACATATACACACAATTATTTACCACAGATTTTGTTGCTCCTATTTTGCCTTCAGAAGGTTTCTGCAGAGGTCAGTGAGGGCTTTTTGCCCTTGCAACTGCACAGCTCAGGTCATGATTTTCTGAGCAGCTACTGTGCCAAGGCATTTTAGTTCATCATGTGTACGATACGTACAATATTATGCATACATAATCCATACATAATCATATGCATATATATATATATAACATACATAGATATCATGTGGATCACAATGTTGCAGATTTTACTCGTGACGTGTTTGTACATGGATAGATCAAATTAGGATTTAGACCATTGTAGCCTTCAAGCAGGATCCTAGCCTTACTGTACAGGGCTTGGGAGTTGCTGCATCCCAATTGACTGCTGTTATGGAAGCCTCGCATACGTGTTCCAAACAAAAGCCAGAACAGCATGCAGCGACCATGCAGCGACCTCAAAGTTGTAATCAGACCATGTGGAATGGCTAGCGTTTTGTGAGCGCGTCGCCTTCTCAAACACTCCGGTGAAGCCTCCGGATCAAAATGGCTCTTGGCTATGCTTGCTGCGATGCTTGTGACATGTCAAGCACTTGGACAGCATGTCAGCATGTCTAGACATTCATGCAGGGATGTATATTGACCTATATTGATCTATATTGATCAATATATATATATATATATTGGATCTATATTGTCTATATTGACCTTGACCTTGCTCAAAAGTCGCCGATCATGCCCACGAGCCGGGTGACAGACTCCCATTTCTTGAATCATCCAATGGCCAGCCTTCTGCGGAGCAATGACCAGAACCAGACTTTGAATCCCATGAGAGGGTACCACAATTTAGAAAAGCTGATGCTTAGGGGACACAGATCCGACAGCACATTCATTTACCATGGGCATACTGGCAAAGTGAACATGCCAAACATGTTGCAGCATTTCTTTCGCCTTTGACTTTGGATCCTGATGCTTCGTTTTCTTAGCAGATCGGCACAGCTACTAAGAAGGGCATCAGTCAGCTGCTCGGAGGGCTTGATAAAAGCGAAAAGGAGAAAGCAGAGAATAACATAGAACAAGAAGAACGAATATGTGGTATGGCACGTATCAAAATCGTATTTGGAAACATATGAGATTTATAAAACATGTCAGGGCAAGGACATGGAAATAACAGATATGACCGGAATAGCTGCAAAGGGATGTTAAACAATGCAAGTTAAAAAGAAAGCTAAGCAGAAGACAGAGAGCCACAAGTTTGTGAACTGCTCCTGGAGGACTAGATCAGTTGGCATCAAAATATGGGAAGAAGTTGAGAAAGAAACTGAACTTTGCACAGCATTGCTACCGCCTAGGGGGCAAGAGAATCGGGGAAGTTGAGCCAGTTGAGGGTGTCCATGCGACGTGACTGACTTGGCCAACTTGGCAGGGCTCTGCGTTCATTTTTGGTGCTGGATATGGCCAGCTGCTCGGAGTCGTGAGAATCGCTTCCACTTTGCCAGGATCAGGCAAGCATCAATAAACATTAATTACTGTAACAATATTTATCGACATTCAACCATAGTACTCACATGTACTGGCTAGATCTGACTAGTACCAGCAACAGACTTGCCACTGGATTTGAAGGCTGGTGAGTTTCTTCTTCCTCTTTTGCGAGGAAGTTAATGACTTCATTCCAAGACTATTCGATCAATTTCGATCAATTGTATTTTACATAATTTTATATAATCATAATCATTTTGGACTTCCAGAGTCCAGTTTCGACCCTATTTTGAAAGCCTTTGCAAGGACTGTGCTGGGCGCAGGATCGCGAAGAGCCAGCACCTGAGGGAAATTTCAAAGTTGAAAGATCTCAATAATTTGGATCCGAGATGTGAGTTGGATCGTAGGGTGGTTGAGCTGGACGGGCAGAAGCAGCCAGAACTGTAAGACTTGCACAGTGCTCCGCTGCAGCCATTGGCTCTTATTCATTAGCATGCTTTGTGAGTCATACTATAGAGCGTTGCACTCCTGTTTCTATGCACATTTTGGAACTAATCGCTGTGACAGTTGAGGAGTTTCATTTGGCCAAGCTGAAATTCTATCACTCTGAATCTGCAGAACATGCTAATATAAATCAGTCGTTTTTTTTGCACAACCAATTTCGCGCTACCAATACCAAGTATCTTCTGGTTTGCAATGAAGTCTTCACGACTTGCCCAAGCCGATGAGACTCTTTGCGCACTTGCTGCACTTGCTTCTTTTCCGGGCTTCAGTCTTTTCAGAGTTCATGGAAGCCGCTCAGATCTTTGTTTAGTTGTAGGAAACTAACACGCGATCAGTTCAGAGCAACTGACACAAGAAGTTTGGAAATTACCAGTGTAGTCACTGCAACCAGCACGCCCCGGCCGAGTCTGAGTCAGACATGTAGAGCTGCAAAACTACAGACTATTGCCCTTGTAAAGTTGCCATCCTCGCCTCTTAGGCATTTGTGGATGTACACCAAGTACAGAGCCGTGGCTTTAACTGGTTCTGGATGCTTTTGGAAAAGCAAGAGTACCTTTCGATCAAAACTATTTTGGTATTCGTTGTATAATTAGATGATTTTCATCGGAATGTGCTAGCCACTAGCCATGGACAGAATGCAATGTTTCTCACTGCCGAGCATCTTAAAGCAATCCTCATTCACTCTGGGTCTTTCGAGCGCAGAGTGTAGTAATTTGAGCGTTTGTTGATCATGAAAAGACAGAGCACAAGGCACTCACAGAGTTTGTATGTTTTGTGTTTCTTGGCCGAGGGCTGCAGAGGTCCCCGGCTTGAGTTCACGGTGAGCCGCTTGTTGGACATGCTCTGCGCGGCAACAAAAGCGAACGGCATGTCCAATGTAGTCCTTTCTGCAAGCGTTTTGTTTGCAATAAAGATACTTAGCTGATCTTAGGTGCGAGAGCAGATGCATGCCTTGTAAGCAGCAAAGAGCTGATATCAGCATAGTGTACTTTCATATTGCATGTTCTACAGTGCTCTAGATGATTTCTTGCTGTTCACGCTTGGCTGTCGAAGCTTCTTGGGTCAAAAATCTATGGTGCTGCTCCGAGCGCAACTTTTCCTCGTTAGACTCTTGGTTTTGCTGGCGGACAAGTGCTGTCTTTCGAACTGCACTACAGTCGTACAGTGCTGTAAGAACGACATCACCAGGCCTTATCAAGGTGATCATGAACATCGCAACACTGGATCACAAGTGTGAACTGAATCAGCCAGCGCCTCAAAGCTCCCTTAGCTTCCTACCTTGCAAGCTACCTTGGTGATGGTTTCCCGCAGTAGAGGATTCTTGTTGAAACTAGATTAGACTTCTGAAAATGTAGAACACTGAAGACTTCGGATTTGCGAAGGTTTCTTCAGAAACACTGCAAGCGGTCGCTTACCAAAACCGACATCGTCAGCAACCTAGAAGCTTGAAAACTGGGATCAACAACAGCAGAAAGTCTTTGATGGGTGATTCCGGCATTTTCACAGGCATGTCAAGAAATTTCTCGCAATGGTGCATGTTGTAGAACGATTCTTATTCGTGCACACCTTTGCCGGTTCATTTCTTGCAGCCCGCAGGTGTACACAGTGAGCAAGTTCGGTCAGCAGTCACAAGCTATTGTCAAGCTGAATTGCTTAGAAGGTCCACCGTGTTCGAAGTCGATTCAACGCCTCAAGACATAGTCTACATGATGTATACATGCATCTATATGCATGGTGGCAAAGTCAAGTGCTTGAATCTGTTCAATTGGTTCAGGTCAAGAGTATGCAGGACACCTTTGTGCTGATGCGAAGAGTGCAGAGAAATCTGCCGCAGAGCAAGCCTTGCAGGCAGAGATCTTCAAAGAATCTCCTTGTTCTTGTCTCGTTCCAAGTTTCGACAACAGGCTTGCATATCATAGCAGCATAGCAGAGTCCACATCCAAATGTCCATGGAGCTCTACTAATCCAAGTCTAGAATCAGAATCCGAATCCCTCTCGATGGCAGCTTTGATTGAAATAGTTGGGTGGGTTTTCTTTCATTCATGGTCAAATGGCAAACTCTGACTATGAGTATATTATTTTGTTTGACATTTCCAAATGGAAGCATGATAAACTAGCTCTGAACAATGAGTTGACCCAAGATACATGGGGTAGGTTGAAATCACTACTAAACAAGAGGCAAAGAGGCAACGACCTGCACGACACAGATTTCTGCTGTTCGGAGGCAAACTTCCTTCTAGTGCAAGCGCAGAAGGCTCGCACGGCGCTGTGAAAATCTCCTGGGTCCTGTACCACCATTGGGATGCATTATATGCATTGCGAAAAGACATGAGTGGTTCGACGGGTGTGAATCGCAGTGTTGTTTTCCTGCTGGTACTTGAAGAAGAGGGACCCCCACATGAAGCAAGCATGTTAGATTGATGTCGGGCCTGTGTTCTTCAAAATGTTTTTTTTGCTAGACTTGACAATGAAGGAAGGTAAGCCAAGTGTCTACTTTGTCAAGGACAGTCTTCAACATCACCAGCCTAAGAAGCCATGTCAGGCTCATGCTGGACACCTCTACCTTTATCTCAAATCCAATCCACACAGCAGTTCTTCACACAACATGCCAACAAGGCACAACATAGCACATAGTCGTCACATAGTGCTTCTGTCAGGGCTCTTTGATCTCTTTGATCTCTCTGATCTCTCTCTCTCTCTCTCACTCTCTCTCTCTCTCTTGTCCCAAACTGGGAAACTGGGACAGGGACCTTGTTGATGCAGACCTTCCCAGCAGCAATAGCCAACGGTTGGTTTTGGTTGCCGTTTACCGTTTGACGTTTGCTGTTTGCTGTAGTGGGGGGTGGATTATTGTTGTTGTTGTTGTTGTTGATTTTGATGGTGATGGTCATGATGATAAGAAGGAGACGGAGAGGAGACAGAGAGTGGTTCGGTTGTTGCCTGATTTTTGTGGTACAGTCAGGCCTCAATGGACGGTCGGATCAAAGCTAGCAGGTCCTGCAAAACAAATTGCTATTGCCCTGTGCCCACCTTTGTTCCTGCCACATGGAATCTTTAATCGCGGTCCCTGTTGCAAGACTTTGAATCTTGAGTTTCTATGAGTTTCTTAGAGTCGCATACTTGGGACTTGCTCTTGCACCCATTGCAATTCTTTGCCACAGGATCAGCCTAAGAGAATGATGTCCGGCGAGGCCGGATAATTACATCAAAAGAGATGTAATTACGTCTCCTTCAAAAGTCTATTTCCACCTCAAAAAGTATGAACAGTGTGGAGTACACAGTGATTTTATCAATCTAATCGCGGAATTTCCTTTGGGGTCAATACCTCGGATGCAATTTGAAATCGCTTCAATATGCTTCAATTTAATTTATTCTTGAGTTGTTTTGAGTTCTTGAGGACGGTTTCCTTGCGGAGAAAAAGCCCCGCATCGATCCTGCTCTGAATCCTGCAATTACTCCAAAGACTGAGTTGAACTCCTTGATCGGCAAGATTTCCAAAAAGGCATCTTGACTTGGACTCAATTTAGAAGTGTTTTCCTGATAGCTAGCCTTTTTCTCTAGGTGACATATGGCGGCATATATTATATTCTTTATTTAGGTACGCGCCGGGGCGGAAGTTTCGAAAATAGGACATGGCTATAGGAACCAGATTGCTTATAACAATTCTTGGTGAGTTGGAAAGAAGTGAATGAATTGAAAATAAAGGATTTGAAATGATATGACATGAAATGAAAGGAACCGCAATAAACGAATGAATGAATGGATGACTGACATGAAATGACATGACATGAAAGAAAACGCAATGAATGAAGGAATGAACAAACGAATGAAATGAATCAATGAATGGATGCCTGACATGAAATGACATGAAATGACATGAAATGACATGAAATGAAATGAAATGAATGAATGAATGAAATGAAATGAATGAATGAATGAATGAATGAATTAATGAATGAATTAATGAATGAATGAATGAATGAATGAATGCATGAAGGAATGAAGGAATGAACAAACGAATGAAATGAATAAATGAATGGTTGCCTGACATGAAATGACATGAAATGACATGAAATGAAATGAAATGAATGAATGAATGAAATGAAATGAATGAAATGAATGAAATGAATGAAATGAATGAAATGAATGAAATGAATGAAATGAATGAAATGAATGAAATGAATGAAATGAATGAAATGAATGAAATGCATGAAATGCATGAAATGAATGAAATGCATGAAATGAATGAAATGAATGAAATGAATGAAATGAATGAAATGAATGAACGAATGAAAGAATGAATGAATGAAAGAATGAAAGAATGAATGAATGAATGAATGAAATGAAATAAATGAATGAATGAATGAATGAAATGAATGAATGAAATGAATGAATGAAATGAATGAATGAAATGAATGAATGAAATGAATGAATGAAATGAATGAATGATGAATGAATGAAATGATGAATGAATGAATGAATGAAATGAATGAAATGAATGAATGAATGAATGAATGAATGAATGAATGAATGAAATGAATGAATGACTGAATGAATGAATGAATGAAATGAATGAAATGAATGAAATGAATGAATGAGTGAATGAATGAATGAGTGAATGAATGAATGAATGAATGAAATGAATGAATGAATGAATGAATGAATTAATGAATGAATGAATGAAATGAATGAAATGAATGAATGAATGAATGAATAAAATGAAAGAATGAAAGAATGAAAGAATGAAAAAATGAATGAATGAAATGAATGAATGAAATGAATGAATGAAATGAATGAATGAAATGAATGAATGAAATGAATGAAATGAATGAATGAAATGAATGAATGAAATGAATGAAATGAATGAAATGAATGAAATGAATCAAATGAAATGAATGAATGAATGAAATGAAATGAATGAATGAATGAATGAAATGAAATGAATGAAATGAATGAAATGAATGAAATGAATGAAATGAATGAAATGAATGAAATGAATGAAATAAATGAAATGAATGAAATGAATGAAATGAATGAAATGAATGAAATGAATGAAATGAATGAAAGGAATGAAATGAATGAAAGGAATGAAAGGAATGAAATGAATGAAATGAATGAAATGAATGAAATGAATGAAATGAATGAAATGAATGAAATGAATGAAATGAATGAAATGAATGAAAGGAATGAAAGGAATGAAAGGAATGAAAGGAATGAAAGGAATGAAATGAATGAAATGAATGAAATGAATGAAATGAATGAAATGAATGAAATGAATGAAATGAATGAAATGAATGAAATGAATGAAATGAATGAATTAATGAATGAATGAATGAAATGAAATGAAATGAAATGAAAGAAAGAATGAATGAATGAATGAATGGAATGGAATGGAATGGAATGGAATGGAATGAATGAATGAATGAATGAAATGAAATGAAATGAAATGAAATAATGAATGAATGAATGAATGAAATGAATGAAATGAATGAATGAATGAATGAATGAATGAATGAAATGAAATGAAATGAATGAATGAAATGAATGAATGAAATGAATGAATGAAATGAATGAATGAAATGAATGAAATGAAT